TGTCCTTAAGTAAGATGATAAAGTTTAAAAATCTTCAAAAGAACTAACAATAGCAATATTATTTACTCTTGTCTAAGTCTTTTTACTCGAATATAAAATTTTGTAACAAGAAATACATTTACGTGTTTTTATAAAAAATAATAAAATATTCTTGTCACTAAACCTAAAGAAAATTATTTTTATAATGAAAAACTAGAAAAAATATATAAAAAAATATATATGTAATAATGACAAGCTTTCCCTAATAAAAACAAATATATATAGTAAGTTAAAGAAAACAAAATAAAATATTCCTAAAACATTATTCACTCCAAATAGTTTATACTATTTAATCATAAAAAAAATTTGAACTATCTCTCATTTTTCATTGAACTTAATTGCTATTATTAATTCAAAAGAGTATTCAGATTTAAGTTAAGTTATTTTTATTTGCAAAGATATTACAAAAGAAACTTTAAAAATACACAAATTTAAGCATAAAACAATAAAGAATACCAAATACTTAAAATAACAAATAATGAAAATATTGATTAAAAAAAAACTACAAACCGTAAATTAAAACTAAAAATGAATTTTTTAAAACTAATCAAACTATATAAAAATTATCAATGCAAAAAATGTACAAAAAACTTGTATAAATGACTAAAAAAGCAGTCTTAAAATCAAAAATTAATAAAATACTTGAAAACATCAATATTTTTTTAAAAAGTAATTATCATTAGTTGAAAAGTATTTTTATAATTTAAATTCTAAAAACAGCAAAAAACATGGAAAAATACGAAAAACTATATGGTTTTGAATTTAGATTTTAACTTGATAAAACTAGATATAAAAAATAAGTAAAAATAAAACAATATAAAATAGTTTTAGATAAAAAATAAAATTGGAATAAAAAATCTAAAATAACAATATTTTTTATGCATAAAAATATTGAATCAAGAAGAATGAAAAGTACGATAATCTTAAAAATAAGATTATAGCTAGCTTTAATAGAACTAGAAGATATTCTAATAATATTAAAACATGTATATCAAATGAAAAATTTTATTTAAAAAAAAGCCATTATAACTGTCGTGTTCGATGCATACTCTAGTGAGAATTTTCTGATTTTTCTAATATTTGTGATAATATAACTGAAGAATATTATAAAAATTTCCTAGATAACTATCTTATATTTTTTTAATTGCCTTTATTTCTTGTTTATGCCCTTTTATACTATTCACTTATTAAGATTTACGATTACCCCACATTTACCCCGCATTTACCCCACACAAATTTAAATACGTGTAGTAAAGCATGTATCACAATAATTGTATGGACACACTAAAGATATACTTTGCACACACAGCTTCTTTGACAAGTTTTGTCACTGAATTTACTTGAACACCCTTAAAATTAAGAATAATTCAAATTTGAAGACATGGTTCTAACATCTCACGTTCAATCAAAATACGCTAATGGAAACTCAAACTCAGCCACACACCACAACGCAACCCACCCACTTTCGTCGGCCACAGCTTGGCGCGGGCGGTGGCGCGGGCGGTTAAGCGGCAGACACAGAAAGTAGTGCAAGGAGCAGATGAAGAAATTCATCTTTTTACTTTAATTGTAGGAAAGGATTATAACAATGATGAAGAATGTAGAAAAAAGATAGAAACATACTGTAAAGGACTAAAAAATGCAAAATTACAACCTGAAGAGATTCACAAAAAACTTGAAGATATTTGTAAAACTGGAAAAGAAAAAGAAAAATGCATTGAATTGAAAACTAAGGTCTCTCAAAAATGTACTCATTTTGAGACAGAACTTGAAAAATTATTAAAAAATCAACAATATGATTGTAGTGAGGAAGAAAAGCAATGTCTATTTTTAGAAAGAGCATGTCCTACCCTTAAAGATAAATGTAATGAGTTGAGAAATGAATGTTATCAAATGGAACGTGATGATGTTGCAGAAAAAGCTCTTTTGAGAGCACTTAATGGAAGCTTTAAAAAAAATGGAAACTGCAAAGAGAAGCTTAAAGAAGTTTGTCTTGAATTAAGCAAAGAAAGTGATGAAATAATGAAAATGTGTCTTAACCAGGAAAAAACATGTCAATCATTAGAGAAAATAGCAGAAAAAAGATGTAGTTCTTTAAAAATACCAGTAAATACCTTACTCACAAGTACTGTTAATGGAATGTGTCTTTTATTACTCAAAAAGTGCTATTTTTATGGGAAGAACTGTGAAGGTGCGGACAAGCCAAAATGTAATGATCTTGAAAATGAATGTAAAAAAAAAGGTTTTATTTATACCATACAGGGTTCAGAATTTAATCCTACAAAATCAAAACCCACTTTGGCAGAGAAAATAGGCCTAAAAGAACTTTATGAAAAGGCAGCAGAACAAGGGATTTTTATTAGAAAGCCACCGCCAGTAGAAGCAACAGACTTATTGGCATTGTTAATTTTAGATTCAAGTCAGAATCAGTCTAATAAAAATGAGAAATGCAAAAAAATTCTTAAAGATAAATGCAAAGATCCTAAAGAAAAAGGGATTCTAAAAGATTTATGCCAGGGAGAAGAACTAAGTAAAGTTGGGGAAAAGAAATGTGAAGAATTAGAAGATGATATTAAAGAAACTTGCAAAATCTTCAAATCAAAAGTTCTCAATAATCATCTCTACGACGTAACAAAAGGAAGTACTGGGATTATTATGTGGGAAAAGTTACCGACATTTCTTAGCAATGAAGATTGTGCAAAGCTAGAATCTTATTGCTTTTACTATGAAAAAGCTTGTTCAGATATCAAAAATAAATGTATGAATATAAGGGCAGCATGTTATAAAAAAGGACTTGATGCAATAGCAAATGAAGTGTTGCAAGACAAATTGAGGGGACTATTGCATGGTTCAAAAGAAATATGGCTTAATAAATTTCAACAAAAACTTGTAGAAGAATGTAAGAAATTTAAAGAATGGACTGACGAGTTATTTGTATTGTGCACAAATCCTGCAAGAGCGGCTCGAGTACTTTCATATGACCTTCGAATGAAGGCAGTCTTTTTGCGAAATGATTTGAACAAAAGACGAGATTTCCCAACGAAAAAGGATTGTGAAGAGCTAGAAGAAAAATGTAGAACATTAGGTGAAGATTCAAAAGAGATTGAGTGGCCGTGTCGTACACTGAATGAGCATTGTGATCGTTTAAGAATTGCAGAACAATTGGAAGAAAAATTGTTGGAAGAAAAAACAAAAGGCCTGGATGAGTTCGATTCATGTATAGAAAAACTTGGCGAACATTGTAATAGTTGGGCCAAAAAAGGAAGATCACAGTTTATTCTTGCATGTCTATCACAGAACATTACTTGCAAAATTGTCACAAAAAATGTTATATCTAAATGTGCAGCATTAGAAGAACATATGAAAACGGAAAATATTGTGAATAAGGCAAAGAGTGAAGATGAAAGAGAATCAATTTGTAGTGTTTGGGAATCATATTGTGATAAGTTCATGTCAAGTTGCAAAAATCTAACAAATGCAGACGGAAATAATAAAAAATGCAAAGAACTTAAAGAGAATTGTAAACCGTATCGTGTTCGAAAAGATCGTGAAGATGCAGTTATGATAGAATTTAAGGGACATCTTGACAATAAAAACAATTGTATAACAACTCTTGATCAATATTGTACGCAATTAAATAATGCAAATAACGGACTCGAAACTTTGTGTATGGATAATACTAAGACCAAAAAAGAAAATAAAACTGTTAGAGAAGAATTGTGCCTGAAACTACTTGAAAGAGTACAAAAAAAATGTCCTAAGTTGAAAAAGGAGCTTCCAAAAGTAAAAAAAGGGCTAGAAAAAAAAGTAGGAGAATATAAAATCATTAAAGATAATGCAGAAAAAGCAATGAAAAAAGCAAATCTTGTCTTATCCATAACAAAAGCAATAAACGATAAATCAGGAAGTAAGAATGTACCTAATTCACTTAACAAAGTAAAAAATCTAACACATTTTAAACTTATGAAAAGAGATATAAAAATACAAGTGACAAAAGAAGATCTAGAAGCATTCGATTTGGTAGCACAAGCGTTTAATTTATATGTAGAATTAAAGGAAATATGCCACCATCTAAAAGAAGATTGTGGATTCAGAAAGGAGTGTAACGCCGTAGAAATATGTGAAAAAATAGATGGAATATGTGCTGGATTAAAACCACTAGAAATAAACTCGCAAGAAATAACAGCAAAGAATACGACTATAACGACAACGACAATAACAACAACGACAACAACAACCGTTACCGATCCGAAAGCATCTGAATGCAAATCCTTACAGACAACAGATACATGGGTTACACAGACATCGACACACACAAGCACATCTACCACCACATCTACAATCACATCAAAAATAACACTCACATCAACGAGGCGATGCAAGCCTACAAAGTGTACCACAGGGGATGATGTAGAGGACGTGAAACCGAGTGAAGGCTTGAGGGTGAGCGGGTGGAATGTAATAAAAGGGGTGATAGTAGCAATGGTTATTTCGTTTATGATTTAGAAAGCAAATGAGCAAGATTTAATGATGAGCATGTATATTTACTAGATGAGCAAGCAGGGTAGGAGAGGAAAGAGTAAGGTAAATTGAGTCATCTCTTCAGCATCAATTGAAAGTGCATTACACATGAAATCACGTGTTCCCTATCTAATTGACCACTATTCTTTGTCTAAATAGCCTTTATTTCTGTATATACTGTTTTTTTATCATTTATCGCCACTGATTGATTTTTACGTTTATCTCGCGTTTACCCCACATTTTACCCCACATAAATTTAAATACATACTAAGCACGTATCATAATAATTCTATGGACACACTAAAGATATACTTTGCACACACAGTGCTTGTCTGACAAGTTTTGTCACTGAATTTACTTGAACACCCTTAAAATTAATTAAGAATAATTCAAATTTGAAGACATGGTTCTAACATCTCACGTTCAATCAAAATACGCTAATGGAAACCCAAACTCAACCACACACCACAGCGCAGCCCACCCCCGTCAGGCACAGCTTGGCGCGGGCGGTGGCGCGGGCGGTTAAGCGGCAGGTACAAACACAGGGAGCAGGAACAAATGATGAGGAAATTTATCTTTTGGCTTTAATTGCAAAAGAAGATGCTAAAGATGATAAGAAATGCAAAGAAAAATTAGACAAATACTGCGAAGCACTAAATAATGCAACAATAAAAGCGGAAGACGTATATGAAAAACTTAAAACTTTTTGTAAAAATGGAAAAGCAGGAGAAAAATGCAAAAATTTGGAAGGCAAAGTCAATCAAAAATGCACTGAATTTCAAGGAAAACTTCAAACAGCTGTTAAGAAAAACATTAAAAATTTGGAAGATACAGATTGTGCAAATGAACAACAATGCCTATTTTTGGAGGGAGCATGTCCAACAAAACTTAAAAATAACTGCAATACTTTAAGAAATAAGTGCTATCAAAAGAAGCGTGATAAAGTGGCGGAAGAAGCTCTTTTAAGAGCAGTTCGTGGAGGTCTAACCAATGAAACTACATGTGAAGGAAAGCTCAAAGAGGTTTGCATAAAGTTGAGTCAAGAAAGTGATGAGTTAACGAAGCTTTGTCTTTACCAAAAAATGACGTGCAAAACATTTGTATCAGAAAAACAAAAAAAATGTAATAGCCTTGAACAGGAAGTTAAAGAAGCACTTAAAAAAAACAGTGAATTACGAGGAAAATGTCTACCATTACTTGAGAAATGTTACTTTCACAGAGGAAACTGCAAAAAAGATGCATCACAATGCAAACTTCCAAATGGAAACTGTGAGGAATATCTACCAAAGTGTGATGAATTGGCAGAAGAATGTGGAAAAAAAGGCGTCATTTATATACATCCAGGACCCGATTTCGATCCAACTAAGCCAGAGCCTACAGTAGCAGAGGACATAGGACTGGAAGAGCTTTATAAAGAGGCTGAGAAGGATGGAATTTTTATTGGAAAGAATCATCTAAGAGATGCAACGACTTTGTTGGCGTTGTTGATCCAAGATTCTAATCTTAAAAAAAAAGAGGACAAAGAGAAATGCGAAGAAGCTCTTGCAGACAAATGCAAAAACTCTCATGAACATGAGGCCTTGGAAAAACTATGTGAGGGAAATAATATAAGTAATGATGGAACAGAAAAATGCAAAGATTTAGAGAATGATATTAAAAAAACGTGCACAAACCTCAAACCAACGATTCTTAGAAATCATCTTTATGATCCAAATGGCGAAATTATTGAATGGTGGAAATTGCCGACATTTCTTAGTAATGAAGAGTGTGCAAGACTAGAATCTTACTGCTTTTATTTTAAAGAAAGATGTCCAGATGTCAAAGAAGCTTGTATGAATCTGTGGGCAGCGTGTTATAAGAGAGGGCTTGATGCACGGGCAAATAAAGTACTGCAAGAAAATATGCGTGGGTTATTACGTGGTTCAAATCAAAGTTGGCTTAAGGAGTTTCAACAAAGATTAGTAAAAGTATGCAAGGAACTAAAAGAAAATAAAGGAAGTTTCCCAAATGATGAAATATTTGTTCTGTGTGTACAGCCAGCAAAAGCTGCACGATTACTTACACACGATCATCAAATGAGGGTTATCTTTTTACGACAACAACTGGATCAAAAGCGAGATTTTCCGACAGATAAAGACTGTAAGGAATTGGGGAGAAAGTGCCAAGATTTAGGAAAAGATTCAAAAGAAATTACGTGGCCATGTCATACACTGGAGCAGCAATGCAATCGCTTGGGGGCTACAGAAATTTTGAAGCAGGTTTTATTGGATGAACACAAGGATACTTTGAAAGATGAAGAAAGTTGTGTAGAATATCTAAAAGAAAAGTGTAATAAATGGTCTAGAAGAGGCGATGACCGTTTCTCTTTTATATGTGTCTTCCAAAACGCTACATGTAAATCGATGGTAGATGATGTACAAGATAGGTGCAAAGTATTCAAAAAAAATATAGAGGCTTCAGAAATCATCAAATTTCTTAAAATTAATAAAAATGAAATAAAAATACTGGAAAGAAATTGTTCTTCCTGGTATCCGTACTGCAATAGATTTTCACCTAATTGTCCAGATCTTGCGAAAGAAAATGTTTTTTGTACAAAGATCAAGAAGCATTGTGAGCCATTTTACAGAAGAAAGGCCTTGGAAGACGCTCTTAAAATAGAGCTTCAAGGGAATTTAAGTGATAAATCTAAATGTGAACCTGCATTAGAAAGATATTGCACTGTATTAGAAAATGTAACTAACACCTCAATTAGAGGATTATGCAAAGATAGTACTAATGATAAGCCTAAAAAGAATGACAATAAAGTTAGAAAAGAGCTCTGTGAGAAATTAGTAAAAGAGGTGGAACAACAATGCAAAGTATTACAAGAGAAACTGAAACAGCCGGCAAAAGACTTAAAAGAAGATTCTAAGACATATGAGGAACTTAAGAAACAAGCAGAGGAAGCAATGAACAAGTCCAGTCTTGTTTTATCATTCGTTAAAAAAGATGAAAATAATGTACCAAAAAATAATAGTGAAAACAATAACAAAAATAAAACCGCATCAAGCAAACATCAAGATACCACAGAATATGCGAAAATACTACGGAGAGGAGTTAAGGATGTAACAGTGACAGAATTGGAAGCCAAAGCATTTGATCTAGCAGCAGAAGTATTTGGAAGATATGTAGACTTGAAAGAAAGATGTGAGAAATTAACCTCGGATTGTGGGATTAAGAAAGACTGCAAAGAATTAGAAAAAGTATGTGGAAAGATTGAGAAGACATGTCTCGATCTAAAGCCTCTGGAAGTGAAGCCACATGAAACAACAACTAGAAACATAACAACTACAACCACAACGACAACAACAACAACCGTTAAAGACGCAAAGGCAACAGACTGCCAGTCTCTGCAGACAACAGATACGTGGGTCACAAAGACGTCTACGCATACCAGCACTTCTACGACTACGTCCACAGTCACATCGAGAATAACACTCACCTCGACAAGACGGTGTAAGCCTACGAAGTG